GCTGGAGTGCAGTGGCATGACCATAGCTCACTGCAGCCTTGAACTCCTGGGCTGAAGCAATTCTCCCAGCTCAGAGTGTATGACATAGCTATGACTATAAACGTGAACCGCCATGCTTGGCTAATTTTCAAACTATGTTTTCTAGAGATGAGGGTTTCACTGCATTACCCTGGCTAGTCTCAAACTTCTGTCATCAAGCTATTCCCCCATATTGGCTTCTCAGGGATTTGGGATTACAGGCATGAGTCACCACATCTGGCCCAGAAATGTTCTTAAAAGTCTAAGAAGTAGAGTTAAGTGCTCTTAAGACATATGTAAAGGGGGAAAGTAATATCACAGTTCAGTCACAGTCACTAAAACTGATCAAGGAGTTAAAAAGTTAAGACAAGACTGAGCACTGACATGGAGAAACAGCAGAGGTTAGGAAGCCCGAGGTGAGGTTGTCAGAGTTGAAAAAGCAGAACCAAGGCATGAGTGAGCCTGAGATGGGCATGAAGGAGCTCCCTGTGTGCCCTCAGGTGAGGGAGGCAGGCCAACTCAAGGCCATCAGGTAGGTAGCATCTGATGTGTGAATAGTCTGGACTTAGATAACTTCTCAAAGTGCATCATAATTAAGAGACTTGGAATGTTTTCATGGGCCATAAAACTAATACCAGGTACGATATAGAAATGACAGAGCAGGTCAGTAAATGCAGTAAGCCTTTACATAAACAGATGCCTAGCAGTTGGCTCAGAAGGTGCTGATACATTTTACTTAATTGGGATATATGAAAGAAATACGTTGAAATTAATCTCTTTCTCCGAATGTGCTGCTTCTGTCAGTTAATTTCTTCGTTACTGCCCCCTCCCTTTAATATTTTGACAAGAAAAATTGTTTCAGCCTGGGCGCGGTGGCTCACGCCCATAATCTCAGCACTTTGGGAGGCTGAGGCGGGTGGATCACCTGAGGTCAGGAGTTCAAGACCAGCCTGGCCAACATGGAGAAACCCCATTTCTAAAAAAAAAAAAAAAATTGTTTCTTGCCAATTTACAGTCGCATAGTTTTAACACCTTTGGCCTTTAATAATGCATTTTATTTATTCTAAATTACATACATTCTTTTGTTATATTTTTAATATATTTACAATTGAGATAGAACTTACAACTAACAGTCTTAGAAAAAAAGCAGTATTCAATGTCAATGCATCTACAGATTTCTTCCTCTGAGGAATGTTTACATTTAGACCTGAGCATGACTGTTTTTTTAAGTCATAATTTTCCCCATCATTCTATCGTGCTGCCAGATTACATTGTAATTTAAGTGGATAATACAAAAATGGTGGGTCTTAAAATACAGTTACAGTTATAACCCCTAATCATGAAATCAAAAATATTTTCCTAGTTTGTAACACTTTTAGGAGGCTAAAAAATAATTTTTGAAGTTATTCACATATAAGGTGTGTAGTCCTATGTTTTTACTCTCTGGATGTCTCTAAATCTCTACATGTGCCTGTTTGTGGGGCCTAAAAGTTTATTTAATAGTTGGCAGTCTTTTGTGACAATGAAAAAAAGAGCAGTGTGATTGCTCAGTCTCCTTAGGCTCTTGGGAAAAGATTTAATGGAGAGTACAGAAATAACACAGAGTGTGTGTGTATGTGTGTAAGTTTACTGTCTAATGGTTTAAATGTCCATTCTACAACATAGCAATATGTGGTATTTGTCATCAGCAGAAATTGCAAGTTATATAGAAAATTGTGGTAGCCTATAGACATAAACTTAATATTTTCTGAAAACCCCATGGAAATAAACACTAGAAAGTTCCTAGTGAATTCAGTACATATAGTATGTGCAAATGATATGAAACTCATCAAAGTGGAAATATCATTGTTAACAATGGAAAAATGTTCGAAATGTGTAAAGCGTGTAATCTAAAAGACAAACACAAGTTAGAGCCTCAATGGGGTTCCTCATTCATATCAGTAGGAACTTTTTCAAGTATCCAAAGCTGAACTAGAAGCTAAAACCGGTGTTATTTGTAACACTGGGCCCTAATATGCCTGTATCTTATTTAGAAAGCAACTTAGCACTACATATTGATTCAGGAAAGAAATCCCACCTTTGGTCTAGTGATTCCACTTCTGAAAATCTTTCCTAAGGATCTCTAAAAAAAGTACAAGATACTGTACAAGAAGGTTTTTCTTATAAGAACAAAACTTTGCAAATGCCTAAATCACTAACAATAGGGCATTGGCTGACTAAAGTATAGGAATAACACCTGATGAGCCAATATTTTTCAAATGGGTCAAGATCATTCATAAGAAAATAAAACATAAAGCATGTACTGCTTAGAGCTGTACATATGTATTTTTACCATGCATAAGGAAACAAAAAGTAATGGTTGTGAGTTTACAGGTAATTTGTAAACAAGGCATTATTTTGGCTCTTGCAAATTTCTGTTCTTGATAAGACATTTCTTAAAGATGTGAGCAAGAGACTTTTACCTATTCCTACCTTTAGTATAATCATCAGTACTGTCATTACTGCTGACCAACCAGGTCTCTTATAGTTGCCAGTTGAAGAAAATCTATCTCAAAATAGTTAAAAATGTTTATTGAGAAATTAATGTGTATAGCCAGGGAGTTAACAGGAGACAGTTAGGTACTACTTGACGAAGGAATCGAATGATCTCCTCAGAACCTGTCTAAGTTATGCTATTCTCTTTTGATCTCTCCTGAAAATAGTCCTCTCCTAATGGCAAAATAAGAGCCATTGGCAACTTCCAGCCAGCTACCAGTCTTGTGGGCCAGTTCCTCCTTTCTCTAGTTCTTGGGAAGTCCCAGATGAATTGCGATTGACTGGCCAACACCTTGGTCAGGCGCCCAGCATATTAACCCCAGGAATGGGGGGAGTGACAGCTTGATACTTGGGCTGATCTTGTTTTATTTCCTGTATACTTTCATTTCTTCCTGATTTTTGTATTGAAATACATAGTAGCACATCTTGGTTTTAGGTGTGGGTGTGTAGGAAGGTGTATGTGTGTGGGTATAAGTCTGCTACTTTTTGATTCTTGTACTTAATTTTCTTGGGGTTCCATGGAAAATTCAAAATTAAATATTATGACACAGGTACTGAAACATAATCTGAATTCTGCAAACATTACTTGTTATGTTTCACACTCAAATGGTAATATATTTGCTTTTTTTGATAGAAGGTAGTGGTGGACTCTCTCAGAAACTTTAGCTTAGGAACAGCTATACAAGTCTCTTCCTATCAAGTGGTGCTCCAACGATTTTATTTTTTCACATAGCTAACATTATATCATCAAATGTTCAAATATATGGGAAAAAAACTTGAAAATAACTTTTATGTGAGTTTTTTACATAAGAATAGTTTTCTCCCAATGAACTTCAAATCATGGAGAAAACGCAGACTTTTTTAGGTCTGTAATATTCTAGTGAGATGGCAGTATTATTAAAATGGATGATTCAAATTTCTGCTAAATCAGAAACTCCCAGATTATATCTCTACTAGATTCTAACCACTTTAGTTGGAGGGAAGAAAAGGATTCTGGGTAGATAAATTGTGACATGTTGAGTTGGACAGTATTCACTAATAGACTGATCAGTTTTTACTGTAGCAATGTGCACTTTGATTCTGTAAAAGCCAGGGACAGAGTGGATTGTGATTTGCCCACTAAACCCCTTTTTAAAAAGTAGAACAGTTATTAATATGTGGTTTGGCAAATAGTGCCTTAATTATTACTCTGTGTGGATCTTGACCTAATTTCTTACAAGATTGATTAAGATAAGTGGCTTGAGATGGACATTGCTGAGGAGTGTCATAGGTTTTTATTATTTTCCCTTATGGCAACTTTTATTATATGAGAACAAAGTTTGTGTAGTAAAAATTCAAGAATGTGATTTTTAGTCTTGCTTAAATGGATTATCTCACTTTGGTGCAAGATGGACTTTAGTCAGACCTACCTTGACATAGGTAGGGCCAATATTTTTTAGAAGCAACTCTAAGATCTGTTTCAAAGTACACTTGATGAAGTCCCCAATGAATCATGCTGTTGTAAGAAGTGAGATTTGGGCTTTGGAAATTGAGCGCAAAAGTTAAAAATTATTTTCTGACATGAAACTGTTCTTATAGATAAGAGCATTGAACCTTTTATGCAGTCCACTTAAATCTGCCGTGATGAATTGCCCCTGAATAAATCACAGCTAAGTAAATGAATTAGCCATGTTATTTTCTGGGGGATATTGGCCAAAAAACAGCTCTCTGTGTTTTAGCATGTTGATATATTGAGTCTAGTATCTGACAGTAATTTTTCCACAGCATCACTTGCTGCTTGAGACTATTCCTAAAATGTGCTGCTAAAATCAGTAGAGAGAAAAGTGATTATGCTTTCATTTGATAAGTTGAAGTGATAGATGCAAGAGGCAGATGAGGGGGAAGATCCCCAGAGAATCTGTGACTTGCCCAATCACTGGGAGAATTGAGTGGGGCCACGGAAAGTTTGCACCTTGTACAGAGGGGAGGAGCCTGGCCTCTTCAGCTTGTGCGCCAGGTATTCAATCTTAGATGGGAGCACACTGGCCTCTCGCTTTGCTAAGATTTTTTCCTCCTTTTTGCCAAATAAATTCTGTTCTACTCACCCTTCAATGTGTCCTTGAGCCTAATCTTTCCTGGTTGTGTGACAAGAACCTGGTTTTAGCTAAACTAAGGAGCGAAGTTTTGCATCTGAGGGAGCAGGGCATGTATATGACTTCTCTAGAAATTGCATTAGATTATTTAGCTTTAGTCTCTTTGAAAGTCCTTGACATAGCCCATTTTATTCCATATGTGTACAGAGAGAATATCATTCCCAAGTAGAATTATTATATTTTTGCCTTTATTTCCTACATATTTATTACTAGAAACTTTTTTCAGGACTGCTTAAAGTGATTAAAATGAATGTGTAGCTATTTTGAAAGTCATTTTTGCTATTCACATAAATTATCACACTTTTTTCTCTGTAGATATAGCTTTGGAGCCAAACCCTTCTGATGATCTTCCTCCGAAAATTTCAAACACAGTCTTCCTCTGAAAATCTCAAGCAAATGGTGACACTGCATTGTTTTTTCCACCAGGAAGAGGACTGAAAACGCTCTGTCATAATGAGTGTATTATAGAAAAGATTTAGAGAAACTTACATTGGTTTAAATGTTTCAGCTTTTCATATATTCACTTGTCCTATTTTAACATGTGATATACTTCTCTTAGTTGTTACTATGTTAGTGAAAATCATGTAAATTTGTGTTTATACATTTTGCTACCTTTCATCAATGTAATTTGCCACGTGATTTAAGCATAGTCATAGATTTATCTTTATTTATTCATAATTCTTTGTCTTTTGCCCTTTCCCCTTGCTCCAAAGGGTTCATTTTAATGATGAATGATAGAATTTAGGCTTCAGCTTGGTTTTTATTAAAACAAATAAAAAAATCAGTTGTTCATCAGTGGGGATTGAATTTGTGATTTCAGCCTCCTCTTATATGGTGCTCTAACCACATGAGTTTATCACATCCAAGTTTATGCTACTCAAAACTTTTAGGATATTAACCTTTTCATGTTAATGTAATATAAATGTAAACATCCACTACTTCTGCTTTTTTTTAAATGTTATGTTAAATCCTAGTTTGTTTGATTAAAAAGTCATATACAACCAAGTTTTTTAGTTGATTTCAACAGCAAGAATACAAATGAGTGTTCTAGAATAATATTTGAAGTAATGCAGCACAATAAAATATGGGTTTTGGTGGGGCTCAGTGGCTCATGCCTGTAATCCCAGCACTTTGGGAGGTCGAGGCAGGTGGATCACAAGATCAGGAGATCGAGACCATCCTGGCCAACATGGGGAAACACCATCTCTACTAAAAATACAAAAATCAGCTGGGTGTGGTGGTGCATGCCTGTGGTCCCAGCTACTTGGGAGGCTGAGGCAAAAGAATCACTTGAACCCAGAAGGCAGAGGTTCCAATGAGCTGAGATAGAGCCACTGCATTCCATTCTGGGAGACAGAGCCAGACTCTGTCTCAAAAAAAATAGGTTTTTAATGTGCTTTTATGGTTTGTATAGATTTTCCAGTCATTTCTGGTCAGGATTTGTGTTTGCTCACTTTTGCATTGCTACAAAGAAATACCCAAGGCTATGTAATTTATTTTAAAAAGTGTAATTGGCTCCTAGTTCTGCAGGCTTTACAAACATGGCTTCAACACCTGCTTCTGGTGAGGTCCTCAGTGAGCTTACACTCATGATGGAAGGCAAAGGGAGGGCAGGTGGTTTCACGTGAGAGAGGGGAAGGGGGAAGGGGCCACACACTTAACCAGCTCTCATGCAAATTACCAGAATGAGAATTTGATCATTATTGTGAGGATGGCACCCAGCCATTCATAAGGAATCCACCACCATTACCCAAACACCTCCCAGGAGGCCCTATTTTCAACACTGACATCCACATATTCAGATGAGATCTGGAGGGGGGAAGTATCTAAATCATATCAGAATTATATTTCTCAGTTCCTTCCAGAGCCATAGGCCTCTCACAGAGTGTGTGGAAGCAGTGAAAGAAAAGTTAAAGCTTTTTCATGTCCCTCAGTCTTCAGAGGGAGGAGTGTTTGCCTCCAAGGCCTTCCAGCATCAAAGGAAGAGGCAGTATAGGAAACAAAGCAGGGCTCAAGTCTCTCTTGGAGCTTTTATTTTTCTGGCCTTTGTTAGAAAAAAAGATGATTTTGTTTGCTGCAGATACTATGTCTAGTTAGGTTTGCATATTCATTTTAAAATTTAAATTTAAGGTAGGTTACTTTCCAGTTGTGCAAAGACCCCCTTTTTTGTTGTTGTTAATGACATACTTGTAGATGGCCAATACATGATTTGAGATGCTCACAGGGATTCTGGTGCATCCAGAGATTTGTACTTAGTCATGAACTAGTTCTTAAAGCTGCTACCTCTTAGATTCTGGTAATTAGAGTAAGCTATGTGTAAATGCAGAATGAGAAAATACTAATGAATCATGGCTCATATATGCAACAGTTAAACTTATTTATTAGCTAAATTTCTCATCTGACTTAATTTGTTATGCTTTTTTTTTACAAGAAGATTTTTAAATTTGAATGTAATAGAATATTTTTTTCCCTTCCAAGATGGAGTCTTGCCCTATCACCCAGAGCTAATGTGCAGCAGCACTATCTCGGCTCACTGCAACCTCCCTCTGCCTCCTGAGTTCAATCAATTCTCCTGCCTCAGCCTCCTGAGTAGCTGGGATAACACTCGTGTGCCACCACCCCCAGCTAAGAATGTAATAGAATATCTGTTAGGACAAAAGGTAAAATCAACATTTTATATTTTACTTTATGAGATTTATTTTTATTTTTTTATTTTTTTAAGACAGGGTTTCTCCATGTTGGTCAGGCTGGTCTTGAACTCCCAACCTCAGGTGATCCACCCACCTTGGCCTCCAAAGTGCTTGGATTACAGGCGTGAGCCACCACACCCAGTCCATACTTTATTAGATTTATTATGCCATGTAATTTAAATTTTCAATTATTGGAAATTATTTTTAATGGAATTTTGTCTCACTTTGCATGGGGGTAATCAATCAGATGTTAGCAACTACTTTATTTTATAATATTTGAATCAGAACTGATTTTTTTAATTCTTGGTGAAAGGAAAAAGAGCAACTACATAAACCATGTAAGTAAATAGTCACAAAGTTAAGAAATTCATAGTTTGCTGTAAAATATTGATTCCTTAAAAATAAAATGGGAGGCCAGGCACGGTGGCTCATGCCTGTAATCCCAGCACTTTGGGAGGCCGAGGCGGGCACATCACGAGGTCAAGAGATCGAGCCCATCCTGACCAACATGGTGAAACCCCATCTCTATTAAAAATACAAAAATTAACTGGGCATGGTGGTGTGCACTTGTAGTCCCAGCTACTTGGGAGGCTAAGGCAGGAGAATTGCTTGAATCCAGGAGACGGAGGTTGCAGTGAGCCAAGATTGTGCCACTGCACTCCAGCCTGGTGACAGAGTGAGACTCTGTCTCAAAAAATAATATCATATAATATAACATAATATAATATAATATAATGTAATAAAATAAAGTCAGGACTCCATCCTGCTAGAATAGAACTCTTTTTGTGAACTTTGTAAATCTCTTCTATCTTTCCAAGTATCAAATTTATGCAGTAAAGTCTTTATTAGTATGTTCACTTTTTCAAGGATCTGATATGTAAGCTAAATTTTAAGAATCTGGTTATGGTACAATGAGAACACATAGACACAGGGAGGGGAGCACTACACACTGGGGTCTGTTGGGGGGAAATAGGGGAGGAACAGCCGGGGGCGGGGAGTTGGGGAGAGACAGACATAGGTGATGGGGAGGAAGGCAGCAAATCACACTGCCATGTGTGTACCTATGCAACTGTCTTGCATGTTCTTCACATGTACCCCAAATCTAAAATGCAAACAAAAAAAAATGCCAGGATTATTAAGCATAATTTTGATAAGTTTTAACCCCTAATGGGATTACTCTTGGTTAAATAAATTGAATGGCCAATGGAAAAAAAAATAACCAATGTAGAAAGAACATAAAAAATTACATCTCTCCCCAACTCCCCACCCCCGGCTGTTCCTCCCCTATTTCCCCCCAACAGACCCCAGTGTGTAGTGCTCCCCTCCCTGTGTCCATGTGTTCTCATTGTACCATAACCAGATTCTTAAAATTTAGCTTACATGTCAGATCCTTACATTATGATCTGTTGGTAAGGACACTAAAGTTTTATCAAATTAGAACATTTATGAAATATGAGAATCTTTAATCAAAGAACATTCTTTCTGTAGTTTAAATGCAGCAATTATAATCCCAGCCATGCTTGCTAATCTTAGCTACCAGGAAGTTAGAAAGAGAGAAAGGTAATTCATAAGACAGCCTGGTACCCAAAACCACCTAGGTTTTCGTGGTCTCTAGTCAACACCTCAAATTATATTGAGAAACAAAACAGGCAGCCAAAGGGAAATGTAAACTACAATTCCAGCAAGCTATAATTTCATCCCTTGTAGTTTGTGCCTCTCCACTGCAAAGTGGCTCTGGTCTACCTGGTCTACAGCTTCCAGTTGGCTTCTTAGAGTGTGTTGCAGACATCTAGCCAAAAGCTCACTATGACTATCTAGACTAGTACTCCCAGAAGCTGTAATGGAGTTTTTCCCATAGTGGGTGGTCACTCCTAAATATCTGTTGGTAATGACACCATGATGATTATGGCAAGTCAAGACTGACTCTGGATGGTCTTGCTCACAATCCCACCCAGATCAACTTGCACAGTCACTTATACATGAGTCATGGTTTTGGTTCTATCGTTGAAATAAAAGGTTTGGTGCAGTGCTTTTGCACATTGGGAGTGAAGAGATTACGTCGAGACCAAGTGTCTCAAACTTTGTTTTTTTTTAAGAGACTGGGTCTCGCTATGTTGCCCAGGCTGGAGTGCAGTGGCTATTCACAGGTGCGATCCAACTACTGATCAGCATGGGAATTTTGACCTGCTCCGTTTCCAACCTGGGCCGGTTCACCCCTCCTCAGGCCACCTGGTGGTCCCCCGCTCCCGGGAGGTCACCATATTGATGATGAACTTAGTGCAGACACCCGATTGGCATAGTGCGCTACAGCCCAGAACTCCTGGGTTCAAGAGATCCTCCAGCCTCAGCCTCCTGAGTAGCTGGGACTACAGGCACGTGCCATCACACCTGACAAGTGTCTCAAACTTGAGGGTAAGAATGGAGAGTAGAAAGCTGAGAATAACAGAAAGGGCCCAGATTTTTGAGTTATCACAGTGATTTCCTGGCTTAAAAATGACTGACATTTTCAAGGCACCTACCATTTACTGGGGATTATTCCAAGGGCTTTTTATGCCTTATCTCATTTTATGTATACAAACAGGCAATTTTATGACTTCTAATTTTTTACTGCTATTTTGTAGATAAGGAACCAGTTTCAGAGGGGAAGTATAGCAGCAAAAAGCTAGTACATGAGGGGAACACCTGGATTTAAACTTAGCCTTCCAGACTCAAGAACTTGGACTCAAGAGCTGGGAAGCATCATGTCAACATTTCCCAAATTTTGGGATCTCTGGAAAACTGTGACAGGATGTTATTTGGTGCACAGATGCTTCATCAAATTTTAAGAAAGTTAAAAAAAAGACATATAAGTTTTTAATTCAAGCTACTTAAAATAAATTTGAGAATACAGAGAAAATTATAATAAAGAGAATAATAATTATACTATTATCAGTGATTGATAGTCATTGTATTTTTATTAATTGATAATTAGTAATTGTTAAGAGAAAAAACTAGGAAATCTGAACCGCATTAACATTTATTAAAGTTCTAAAGACTTTACTGTTCATGACAACGGCTTTCTAAAACATTCTTGTGTTCCAATGTGAGGTTACAGGAATGAAAATATAACAGGTTCATTACCATGGCTTGTCAGTGAGGGTCAGTATTTACTGGCAATTCTGACTGGTTACTCTATAAAAGACTTGACAGGACTTGATGTGCTGAGGAAGGAGAGTCCAGGAGACCCTCCGAAGGTCAGGCTGCAGGAGAAGGATTTATAAAACTGTTTCCTGTAGTGAAGCAAACACCAAAGCTCATGAGAGGCATTATTTTACTAAACAGATATTTTCCTAAGATATTAACCATTTATGAATTAATTTCTTAAATGCACCTTTCTACTTTATAGAGATGCAGATAAATTCCTCAATATATTTGATGAGCAATTACATGCATTCGCAAGTGTCATTTTTATTGAGGTTGTATTTTTCTCACAGATTTGTGTTTATTTTATGCTGAAGTCAAAGACATATTTAAGTCTTTTTCCCCATGTCATGTTGCATCTAATCATCCTATTTAAGAAGCGTTATTAAAAGCATATGCTGGAATAAGAATTGACCTGTAGCTCTGTTTAATTAGTGAGCTAATGAGAGTAAATATATAATCCATATAACAGAAAATATATCTTTTTAAAAGATAATTGTCACGGGAGGATTCAAGATGGCTGAATAGAAACAGCTCTGGAGTGTAGTTCCTAGCAAGCACAATGCAGAGGGTGAATGCCCACTGCATTTCCAAACAAATTTTCACTGCCCACAGACCAGGAGATTGCCGGTGCTATGAGTTTTTAGCACGACAGTTTCAGCCGGTGCTGGGTTGGTGCACAGAAACTCACACAAATCTGGGCTGCCATTTCAACTGCTGGCTGGAACACCTGGGAGACAGAGCTGCCCATTCAACTGAAAGGGAGGGGGCAGAGACAGGGAGCCAGGTGATCTGGCTCAGAGGGTTCCACCCCCACAAAACAAGCAAGCTGAAACGCTCTGGATTGAAAGTTTTGCAAAACTCTCAAGCGCAGCTGGATCCAGGATGGTCCAGTTCAGTGGGGGGAAGGGTGACCACAACTATGGAGGCAGTCAGCCACTACTGAGGCAGTTCACACAGCCGCTGGGCAGAGCCTGCAGCAGCTCAGCAATGCCTCTGCTTGCAGACTGTGACTAGACTACTACATGTGGGGCAGGACATCTATGAAAAAAGGCAGCAGCACAACAGGAACTTATAAATAAAGCCAATCTTTCTAGGATGGGGCATCTGGGAAAAGAGGCAGTTATGACTTCCGCTGCAGCAGACTTAAAAGTACCTGCTCAGCAGCTCTGCACAGAACAACAGAGCTTCCAGCACAGCACTTGAGTTCCTATAAGGAACAGACTGTCTCTTCAAACAGCTCCCTGACCCCCTTATACGCAAAGAGACACCTCATAAAGGAGAGCTCAGGCTGACATCTGGCAGGTACCCTTCTAGAAAAAATATAACAGAAGAAACCAGCAGCAATCCTTACTGTTCTGCAGCCCCCACAGGTGATCCCCAGGCAAGCAGGGTCTGGAGTGGACCTCCAGAAGTTCTGTAGCTGAGGCTATTAAAAGAAAAACTAAGAAACAGAAAGAAAAAACTACATAATCATCAAAAAGGATGTCCACTCAGAGACCCCATCCAAAAGTCACCAACTACAAAGACCACAGGTAGATAAAGCCACTAATATGGGAAGAAACCAGCACAAAAAAAATGAAAACACCAAAACCCAGAATGCCTCTCCTCTTCCAAAGGATCACAACTCCTCACCAGCTAGGGATCAAAGATGGATGGAGAATGAATCTGATGAATTGACAGAAACAGGCTTCAGAACGTGGGTAATAACAAACTTCTCAGAGCTAAAAGAACATATGCTAACCCAATGCAAAGAAACTAAGTACCTAGAAGAAAGGTTAGATGAGATGCAAACAGAACAAACAGCTTGGAGAAAAATATAAACAACTCAATGGAGCTGGAAAACAGCACTAGAACTTCACGAGCATACACTAATTTCAATAGCTGAATCAACCAAGCAGAAAAAGGATATCAGGGATTGAAGATCAACTCAATGAAATAAAATGAGAAGGCAATAATAGAGAAAAAAGAGTGAAAAGAAATGAACAAAGCCTCTAAGAAATATGGGATTATGTGAAAAGACCTAATCTACATTTAATAAGTGTACTTGAATGTGACAGAGAGAATGAATCCAAGCTGGAAAACACTTCAGAATATTATCCAGGAGAACATTTCCAACCTAGCAAGCCAGGCCACCATTCAAGTCCAGGAAATAGAGAGAACACCACAAAGATATTCCTCAAGAAGAGCAACCCCAAGGCACATAATCGTCAGATTAACCAGAGTTGAAATAAAGGAAAAAATGCTAAGGGCAGCCATAGAGAAAGGTCAGGTTACCCACAAAGGGAAGCCCATCAGAATTACAGCAATCTCTCCACAGAAATCCTACAAGCCAGAAGAGAGTGGGGGCGGTTATTCAACATCCTTAACAAAAAGAACTTTCAATCTAGAATTTCATACCCAGCCAAACTAAGCTTCATAAGCAAAGGAGAAAGAAAATCCTTTATGAATAAGTGATTGCTGAGAGATTTCATCACCACCAGGCCTGCCTTACAAGAGCTCCTGAAAGATGCACTAAACAAGGAAAGGAACGACCAGTACTCCAAAACGTACCAAATGGTAAAAAACATCAACACAATAAAAAAGTGCATTAACTAATAGGCAAAGCATCCAGAGAGCATCAAAAGGATGAAATTCACACATAACAATATTAACCTTAACTGTAAATAGGCTAAATGCCCCAATCAAAAAACACAGAGTGACAAATTGGATAAAA